TCAGGTTCACAGCCCTTGTTTGACATTTCCACAAGCAACGGACAAGCGCCGTCCAAACTATTATTCGTACACAAAGCCTTCAAAAGAATATTGTATGTATACACATTCGGCTCCAATCCATCCTTCTTCATGTTTCCATAAACAGGATTGATCATTAGAAACCTATTCTCACTAAGCAATGCATCCAACAAAAAATTATAAATCCTAACAGTGGGTTTACACCCGAATTCTTGTATCCTATAGAACGTTTTCAGCGCTTGTTCAGCTGCCTCCGCACTCCTATAAGACCTAATCATACTAATAAATATATCTTCGGAAACACTAATCCCCTCCAACTTCATTTGCTGCAAAAGGTACTGCACAGCATCAATCTTCCCTTTATGCCCAAGTTTTTCTATCATCATATGGTATGTTAAATGAGTATGCTTGAAATATTTAAAATTGGCTATGGACTTAAAATATTCTAGTGCTAATCCAATATCATTTTCATGTTTCAATCGCTTCAAGACTTCAGATTCTTCAATAATTATTGGGTTTTGTTCATTTTGATCATTTCGGGGAATAGACTTGAATATGGGGTTGGTGTTGAGGACAAAAGGGATTGAGGGCTTGTGTAATGTGTACTTTCAACAGTAAAGAACAACCGCCTTTCAAATACATGTTTGCAAAAGGAACAAAACACAATATATGAAAAATTCAACAATTCTTCAGACACGCATTCAATTTACTACAAGACCTTCCAAAAGGCAAAAACTGTTTACTGTTCACCAGAAGAAGAAGAAAAAAAAGGTCAATAATCGATGAGTGAATGCTTCTCAGAAGACTCAGAATAGAATAATCTTAAAAGAGAAACTAATAATCAAATAATCAAAATAAACTCAAATCCCACAAAACAAAAATAAAAAATCAAAGTCTGGAACTGATTATAAAGTAAGAACGGAAGTCGGAGACGGAGTGTTAAGTCGAGGTTTACCAATTACCATTTACGTTGTTGATTGTTGAAGTCTTGACTCTTGAACTTGATTCCTTGAAGAAGCCGAGCGAGAAGAATGAATCAGATTCTCAGAACTCA